TTCCGGCAGGCCTGGGGCTGTTGACCTCATTGTTGAGGGCCAGCCCCCAATAGAATGAATGTATGTGGTGTTGTGATTTTAAATTGTCTTTTTCTCTCTCTCTTTTTTCTCTCTTTTTTTTGTAAGCTGCTTGGAGTCCTTCGGGATTGGGCAGCATATAAATTTTGATAATAAATAAACAAACAAACAAACAAACAAACAAACAAACAAACAAGCTGAGAGTACCAAGGATCCTTGCGCTACAAATATTCTCCTTTATTGATACTACTAATTTCTGTGTAGCAATCGCACCAAGTTATTTTCAATTTTTGTTAACCGAATCTGGCCTAGAGGGCACAGATAGTGTACAACTATTCATTTAGCAACTGTTCAGAGTTACGGCAGTGCTGAACAAAGGCCTGCAGTGGTCACATGGTCAAAAATGTGGGCATTTGGCCACTTATACTGTTTCAACTCCCCTGCCTCTCTCCTCCCCAATCTATGCTTTTCTGCCTACTGCCCGCTATGGCTCCTGCTACCCTAACTGACCACTTGTCATCCTTTTGCTCTTTCTGCTGACCAAATATAGCCAGCTTGACCCTTTGCAAGGCAGCTGATGACCCCATGAAGTTTTCTTCACCAGGTCACATAAGCCGGTTTCCTTATGAAATTTGGGGAAGGTAGCCGGCAGCTGCCTGGCAAAGGGCCAAGGTGTGTGTGTTTGGTCTGCAGCAGGAGCAAAAAGTGGGAGAAAAATGGTGAAGGTCAGCAGAGGTGGCAAAGGACAGGGGCCTCAGAGTGCAGGATGGACTGGGCTGAGGAGGTGGAGGCAGCTTTGCGCCATACAGACAGAGTGCCTGAAGTATCATGGGGCATTGTGGCTTTGTACTAAAACGTGTGGCATTGCACCAGGGATGGGATTCAGTCAGTTCGGATCGGTTCAGGTGAACTGGAGGCTAATTTTGCATTTGGTTTACCGAACTGGTAGTTGGAAGGACTGGCGGGCCCCGCCCACCCTGCCCCACTCCTCCCAGGAGTCTCCACGTGGCCCATTCATCATGCCAGGTAAGTGCAGGGCCTGTGTTGAGGCTCTGAGAGGGCAGAAAATGGGCCTTCTGGAAGTTCCAGAAGGCTCGAAACTGGTGTTTCTGACCTCTGGAGGGCCTTTCGGGCCTGGGGGCAGACATTTTTGCCTTCCTGGAGGCTCAAAGAAAGCCTCCAGATCCTTGGGAGGGCAAAAAACGGGCTTCACGGAAGTTCTAGAGATGCAGAAATGGGTCTGTTTTCAGCCTCCAGAGGGCTTTCAGAGCCTGGGGGAAGCGTTTTTTGCCCTCCCAGAGGCTCAAANGTGCAGTGCCCTATAGCATCATTTAGAGGGTAGAAGTTGAAACAATTTATGTCCAGGAATTGAGGGGTCTGTAGATATTTTACCCAGCCCTCTTTTTGACTTGTGCAATATATAGGTTCTGAATGGAAGGCAAGTTGGTAGCAATTGTTTTTTCTTCAGTTCTAATTATCCGTTGAAGTCTCTGTCTGTCTTGTTTGGTTGCAGAGCCAAACCAGATAGTTACAGAGGTGCAGATGACAGGCTCAATAATAATAATAAAAAGCAGAGGTTAGATGATCGCCTGCCTGAGATGCTCTGATTAATTCGATGACACCTTCCAACTTGATGATTCTATGGAGCACCACAATCTGGAGAGGACATGCAGAAAAGAATTTTTTCGGCAATAGCACCTGTATCCTGACGTCTTGCTTTGGCTCCTGTTGTGTAGCTATTGGGTTGCTAGTCAAAGCTCTTTTAAAATTGGCTTCTCGGCTTTCAAATTAGATTGATTTTCTTACCTTAGTTCAGCCTTCTGTCATCTGCTGCTCTTTGAATATGTTGCAGCTGTAAATTCCAGAGTTTCCAACTGTTTGCAGTGATGGCTGGACAGCTTGAAAGCTTCAGTTGCAATGTATCCAAGAGAGGGCAGGTGGTGTAATTTATAATTTCCCTTTGCACGCTTTTTTTATTTTGCAGGTTACAGCATGCTTGGGTATGAATGGAGATCTAAGAGTTATTTACACCTGATGGAGGAAGCCCCAGTTTCAAACCACCCCCCCCAATAGATTTGATAGCTCGGGCTGAGTGATTTTTGTTCAGCATTTTATCTTAGAGCATTTTGTAGACTTGTTGAGAAACTGGTTTTGAGCTGGGACTCTTTGAACAAGGATACCATATATGTCACCACAAGGGACGCAGTGGCTCAGTGGCTAAGACGCTGAGTTTGTTGATTAGAAGGTTGGCGATTCGAATCCCTGGTGCCATGTAATCAGGGGTGGGATCCTGCCAGGTCTAACCTCTTCCATTGAAGAGATTCCACAAATCTACTGTGCCATTTAAAACCAGTTCTAGCTCCCTCCCCCACCCGTCTGCACCACGCTGCCCCGCCCGCTGCTCACTGATTGGCTGGCTCACCAATCACCCTGCCCACCTCTAAGAGTCCTATCTAAACCTTAAAGTCTTAAAGCTGTCAAGTTTGAACACCCCTGGTGTGTTTTTTTTCCTAAAGGGTTAAGAGTGCAAGGGTCTTGTAACTTGACAGCTTTAAGACTTGGCACACTTCAGTGCCAGAGTTCCTGAGCCAACATGACTGGAGGAGGAATTCTGGGAGTTGAAATCCACAAGTCTTATATCTGTCAAGTTTGAACACCCCTGGGGTATTTTTCTAAAGTGTTAGGGGTGCAAGGGTCTTGTAACTTGATAGCTTTAAGACTTGCGTGCTTCAAATGCCAGAGTTTCTGAGCCAACACTTTGGTTGCTAAGCAAGAGTGTTGTTAAGTGAGTTTCACCACATTTTACAAGTCGGCCATGCCTACCCAGCCACATGACTGCCAAGCCACTCCCACTCAGTCACATGGCTGGTAAGCAACTCCCACTTGGTCACATGGCCAGCACGCCACTCCCACAAAGCAGGCCACACCTACAGAAGAGGTTCTAAAAAAATTTGAAACCCACCACTGCGCGTAATGGAGTGAGCTCCCGTTACTTGTCCCAGCTTCTGCCAACCTAGCAGTTTGAAAGCATACAAAAATGCAAGTAGAAAAATAGGGACCACCTTTGGTGGGAAGGTAACAGTGTTCTGTGCGCCCTCGACGTTTAGTCATGCCGGCCACAGGACCACGGAGACGTCTTCAGACAGCACTGGCTCTTTGGCTTTGAAAGGGAGAGGAGCACCCTCCCTAGAGTCGGGAACGACTAGCGAGGAGAACCTTTATCTTTACCGCATATGTGAAAAAGAGCAAATTATTTATAATTCTGTTTGTGGCTTGGGTGACTCTGAATCAGGATGGGAAATCAACCGCAGGCTGATTTTTCACAGGCAATATTTCATTGATATTCCATTTTTTTCCCCAACCCTCTCCTTTCATCCCTTTTCCATTCTAGTGAACCGATCTCTTCACATCATTACCACAATTGGCAACCAAGTGGTAAGTGGACAAGATGGGTTAAGTAACCCATAATCTATAATCCATTAATTTCGAAGGGGTCTTTGGTGCTCTCTGGGCTTGGTTCCTTTCTTGCAGATGTTTTATTATCCAAACTAATGACATTATTCCAAACTAGGACCTTCGTGACCGCCTACTGCCACATACCTCCCAGCGGCCAGTAAGATCCCACAGAAAGGGGCCTCCTTCAGATGCCGTCAGCCAGACAATGTTGGCTGGTGGGCCCCCAGAGGAGAGCCTTCTCTATGGCTGCTCTGACTCTTTGGAATCAGCTACCCCCAGAGATCCGGACCATACCCACTCTCATGGCCTTCAGGAAAGCTGTAAAAACCTGGCTGTTCCGGCAGGCCTGGGGCTGTTGACCTCATTGTTGAGGTCCAGCCCCAATTAGAATGAATGTATGTGGTGTTGTGATTTTAAATTGTCTTTTTCTCTCTCTCTTTTTTCTCTCTTTTTTTTGTAAGCTGCTTGGAGTCCTTCGGGATTGGGCAGCATATAAATTTTGATAATAAATAAACAAACAAACAAACAAACAAACAAACAAACAAA